TCATTTCTTTTTCTTTTGTTATTTCTTTTTTATATATCATTTATAGCATCTTATTTCATGGATACAATATCTTCTCTTATTTCTCTGAGGATACTAATAATTTTTGTTTTGTATTTTCTTCTGCTTACTGCATTGTCTATTTGCTTCAAACATTGTTTGTCTACTTGCCCTCCCTCTTTTATCCTAGAGACTTCCTTCAAATATCTAGTGATATGTGACTAAAGGTTGATCTTTTTTTTTAAGACTTCATTTATTTATTTGAGAGAGTGAGAGAGAGAGAGAGCATGAAAAGGGGGAGGGTCAGAGGGAGAAGCAGACTCCCCGCTGAGCAGGGAGCCTGTTGCAAGGCTCAATCCCAGGACCCTGGGATCATGACCTGAGCTGAAGGCAGATGCTTAACTGACTGAGCTACCCAAGTGCCCTGAAAAGGTTGATCTTTGAGTAAAGTACTAAATAACTAATTGGCAGCCCTGTGTGTGTGTGTGTGCATGCGCACACACATGTGCACACATCAGTGTGGGGGTCCTGTCAACTGGGCAAAAACTAAGCTTTTATATTGGGGAATATCTAAATATCAGTGTCCGCATGTGTTTTCTCTGGGGCCTTGAGAAAAGAATCCTCCAACCTCCTGCTTGGGGAGCATACTTCTGGCTGTCAGGATTATGGTAGCAGAGCTGGAGGAGGGGTCTGTGGACCTCCTCCCCACTTTCCATTTGGTATCTCACTCTAACCCTTTCTGTGTCTGCTGGCCCCAAGTTCAGAGTTCTTCCAGGTTAATTTCTCAGGGGAAAAACCCTCAACCTCTTGCAGAGTGGAGGGTTACTCACCTGATTGTGCAGCATACTGGGGGGGGGGCGGCTAAGGGTCTCAATGCTCCCTCTATAGATAATCCATCTTCTGCCCCTGTTTTCAGTCCCACACCTCACCCCTGCTCAGCCTGTTACTCCCCTTCAAATTGCTTTTCATCATCCAAATATGTGTTGATATCTCTTAAGGAACATAAACTCAGGCACAAGAGATGAAGTAATTTGCCCAAGGTCACACGACCAGTAAGTAGCAGAGCTGGTATTTAATTCAGGCTGTCTAGTGCCAACATGTGGTAATGACTTTGCTATACTGCCCCTCAGTGCATGTTACCTTCCTTCCTGTCCCCAGCCCATCCCATAGTTAGTGAAAAAGTCAAGGAATGTGAATTTACTATAGGCTGAGGTTTGTTCACTCTTCCAACAGGTATTAATCAAGTATCTGGTATGTGCCAGGCACTAAGTAAGGAATATAGGAGTAGAGATGACAGTCTAGTTTCTTAAAATTTATGGTCTTAGGGAGGGACCAGACATTGAACAAACTGCTACACTAATTAATATATAGTTACCCACTATTACTGCTCTACCATTGAAGGATAAGAACAGGGTGTAGTGATGGACACTACCCAGCAGGAGTGTGAGGGAGGTTTGTGAAAGGAATCTGGCTTATATCAGAAGGTCAACAATGGCTTCTCTGAGCATGTGAGCTATGAACTGAGTTATAAGAAGAGACATCCAGAAGGTTGCTCCTCTCTCTCCCTTTTTCTCCCCCTCTCTCTCCTTGCCAAGTGAAGACACAGCAAGAAAGTGGCCATCTAGAAGCCAGAAAGAGAACTCTCATCAGAAATTGACCATGCTGGCACCTTAATCTGCCATTTTTAGCCTCCAGAACTGTGAGAAAATAAATTTCTATTGTTTAAGCTACTCAATGTATGGTATTTTGTTATGGTAGTTTCAGCTAAGACAAGGTGACATTTCCACCAGGTTGGAAAGAATGAGAAGGAGTCAGCCAGGTGAAGATAAGGAGGTAGATTGTTTCAAGCAGAAAGAACAGCATGTGCAAAGACCCTGTGACAGGAAAGAGCTTAATGAGCTGCAGGAATGGTCAGACATTAAGTGTGACTAAATGGCAGTAAGCCCAAGAAGAAGCAACAGAAGATTCAGCAGGGAAAAGTCAGCAGGGGTCAAATCATGCACAAGAAAAAGTTTGGGTTTTATTCTGAGTGCAGCGGGAAGCCACTGGAGATTTTAAGCAAGGGAGTGATGTGGTTTGATTTATGTGTGTTTCTTAGAAGATCACTTTGACTACTGTGTAGAAGCTGATGAAGGGAAGAACAAGACTGGGTGAGAGACTGAACTTTCTGGAAAAATAAATCATTAACTGCCCCACCCCTCAAAACCCTACTGTTGGCCTCTATTTTTTTTCTATTTCAAAAAGTTGTAGATATGACATTAGACCCTTACCTTATACCATATAAAAAATTAACTCAAAATGGGGGCGTCTGGGTGGCTCAGTCGTTAAGCGTCTGCCTTCAGCTCAGGTCATGATCCCAGGGTCCTGGGATCAAGCCCCACATCAGGCTCCCTGCTCAGCGGGAAGCCTGCTTCTCCCTCTCCCACTCCCCCTGCTTGTGTTCCCTCTCTCGCTGTGTCTCTCTATAAAATAAATAAATAAAATCTTTAAAAAAAATTAACTCAAAATAAATGAAAGACCTAAATGTAAAACTATAATGCTCATAGAAGAAAACATAGGAGGAAAAGCTATATGACACTGGATTTGGCAATGATTTCTTGGATATGCCACCAAAAGCACAAAAGGAAAACAGATAAACTGGACTATATCAAAATTAAACAATTTGGTGTGGTGCCTGGGTGGCTCAGTTGGGTTGAGCAACCAACTCTTGATTTCAACGCAGGTCATGATCCCGGGATCCTGGGATTGAGCCCTGCATCAGGCTCCATGCTCAGTAGGGAGACTGCTTCCGGATTCTCCCTCTCCCTCTGCTCCTCCCCACCTCTAAAATAAATAAATAAATCTCAACAGTTTGGTGCATCAAAGGACACTATCAACAGAGTAAAAAGGCCTCACAGAATGGGATAAAATATTTGCAAATCACATACCCAATAAGGGGTTAATATGCAGCATAGATAAAGAACTTCTACAAATCAATACTAAAAAAAAAGCAAACAACTGGATGTAAAAACGGGCAAAGGACTTGAACATACATCTCCCTGAAGATATAAAAATGGCCAATAAGCATATAAAGAGATGCCCAACATCATTAGTCATCAGGAAAATCAAAGCCACAATGAGATACCACTTGACACCTATTAGGATGACTACTATCAACAAAACAGAGGGGCACCTGGGTGGCTCAGTTGGTTAAGCGTCCAACTCTTGATTTTGGCTCAGGGTGGTGGGATTGAGCTCTTCATCAGGTTCCACATTCAGTGGGGAGTCTGCTTGGGATTATCCCTCTCCCTCTGCTCCCCTTCATGCTCTCATGCTAGCGTGATGCTTGCTCTAATAAATAAATAAATATTAAAAAAAAAATAACAAGTGTTGACAAGGATGTGGAGAAATTGGTGCACTTTTGGTGGGAATATGATATGGTGCAGCCACTGTGGAAAACAGTATGGCGATTCCTCAAAAAACTGAAAACAGAATGCCATATGGTCCAACAATTCCACTTCTGAGTACATACCCAAAAGCATGAAGAGCAGGGTCTCAAAGAGGTATCTGTATACATTCAAACAAGCACTTTTCATAATAGCCAAAAGGTGGAAGCAACCCAAGTGTCTACTTACAAATGAATGGATAAACCAGATGTGGTCTATACATACAAAAGAACATTATTCAGCCTTAAAAAGGAAGGAAATTCTGACACACGCTATGACATGCATGAGCCTTGAGGACACTGAACCACGTGAAGTAAGCCAGTGACAAAAGGCGAAAAACCTCTATGATTCCACCAATAATGAGGTACTTAGAGTAGTCCAATTCACAGAGGCAGAAAGTAGAATGGGGATTATCAGGAGCAGGGGGAAGACAGAATGGGGAATTATTATTTAATGGGGACAGAGTTTCAGTTGGGGAAGATGAAGAAAGTTCTAGAGATGGGTGATGGTGATGGCTGCATAACAGTGTGAATGTGCTTCATGTACTTAAAAATGGTGAAAATGGTAAATTTTATGTTATGTGTATTTTACCACAATAAAAAAAAAGGACGTGACTAACGTGCCGTCACTGTGTGTTCCCTAAGTTGAAGAGTGTGGTGCAGGAATCCTTTAGAGCCCTTCAGATCTTGGCTCCACAACATACAGGACTGTGTGATCTTGGGTAAATCACTTCACCTCTCTGAATCTGTTTCCTCGTTGGCAATTTCAGTGTAATTGGCTTTTTAGGAGCAACACATGTGAAAGTATCTAGCTTACTGGCCAGCATATAGACAAGAACAGGCAGCCCTTTTGGGTTTTTTCCCCTGATATCGGTCTGCTTTTTTCTCATAGGGTTCCCATTGGATCCAACCCTAAGGGTGAGGACAGTAAGCCTGGTGAACCTCTATTGACTCTGAGATGCCTTGGGAAATCCTTTGCTTTCTTCCTAAGTCGAAATCCTCCATTAGGTCATCTTGAATTATGCAGCTGCTAGGGAATGTGCTCCCAGCCACGTGTCTCAGTCCTTAGGGAGGCTTCCTTCAGAAGAAGCACCAAGTGGCCGACCATGTTCATGTCACAGCTTTACGCCCATCCCATTGTGTCGGACAAGCCCCACTGGCAGGGAAGATCATCCCCACCTCAGTCCAACGGAGACAGGGTGTGCTCTGTGTCTGAAGCACGTCAAGTCCACACGTGCTCCTGGGCCTCCGGAGAGCTGTGCTCCTCAGCTGACAAGTAAGCCCCTGGTAAGAATTTTCTTCCCCAAGCAAAGCCAGGCCCCTTGGTTAGAGCGGCCGAGTGGCAGGTGCTCAGAAGGCTAAACTGTTCCCTCCTTCATGCAAGGTCTGCCTGGGACCGGTCTGACAGCTTTGGGTGGGTTGTTTGTGTTCTGTAAGCAATATTCTCTGAATATCTTTTCTTCCATGGGCCAGGCACTGTGCCAAAAACAGTGAATGCACGATTTTATTTCATCCCCACTGCAAGCCTGAGTGCTAACACCGCCCTCATCCCACAGAGGAGCTAAGGTAGATGGCGCACCCAAATTCACACGGCTGGCAACACCAACTCAGATCTGGTCTCCAGAGCCCACGCCTCCCTGTCACCTGCACTAGCTCGCAAACCGTGGCTGTGCGGAGGGGCCCGGTCTGGATGCCAAGACCAAGTGGGGTAAACGTCTGGACGGGCGCTGGCTCCACAGCGTTCTTCTGTTCCTCACACCTTCCTCCACCCTGCTACAGTCCGGGGGGGTTGGAGACAATCTGCTCACAGTCCAGGTGGGGCTGGGGAGAGACAGACCTACAAACATGAGAAAAATGTCACAGGCACCGTGACGAGGCCTGAGGAAAAGAGGTGCATTCAGAACAAAACGTACACCTCTGGTCACAAGGGGTTGGCAACCGGTATTTATGGGCAACAACTCTGTGCCAGGTCTTTCCCAGGCATGAGTTCACGTACTCCTTATATCTAAGACGTGCCCAGCACAGGGACAACATGCTCCTTCATTTATTCCTCCCAGCACCTCCCAGGGTAGAGAGAATTTATGATTCCCCAGTAAAAAGGAGCAGTAAAGGGACGTGCCCAAGGCTGTGGAGTCGGAAAGAGGCTGAGTGGAGATTCAAACAGAGTGCTTTTCCCCAGAACCCCAGCTCCTTCCCCTTGACTTCCGTTTCAAACTTCTCCCCTGTGCACCCCTCACAGACTCTCTTTGACAGTTAAAATATAAGCTCCCCAAAGGCCTGGCCTTTGTCTTGCTCCCCACTAGGCACCTAGAACCTACAGCAGTCCCTGGCACAAATAATAACGTGTTCAACACACATTTGGGAAATGAGTAAGTGTCCCATGCGTCTTCCACACAAGACTGGGACATGCTTCGGGGAGGAACCGTGTCCCCTCCATGATGTATCCCAGGATCAGCCCAAGGCCAGGTCAGAGGGGACACGGTTTACTGGAGGACGCCCAGTGGGACAGAGGAGTCCAGGTGCCTGAGCCTTTAAAGTAACCAGCCACAGGGCGCCTGGGTGGCTCAGTTGGTTGGGCGACTGCCTTCAGCTCAGGTCATGATCCTGGAGTCTCTGGATCGAGTCCCGCATCGGGCTCCCTGCTTGGCAGGGAGTCTGCTTCGTCCTCTGACCCTATCCCCTCTCATGTGTTCTCTCTC